GCTCTTCCCTGTGAGGGTGCTGAGGCACTGGCACAGGGTGCCCAGAGAGGCTGTGGCTGTCCCATGCTGATGAAGCTTCCTTCTATGCTGGTTGAGGTTGCACCTTGCTGGTGCTGCTCTGCCCATGACCCAACTGCCTAAAACATCAACTTGATCATAGGTGCCTGTAGTTTAAAACCCCTTTTTTTTTCCAGGCTTCTGCCGCCGTGACCTGGGGGTGAGGTTGTGGTTTAGTGGTTTTACAGCAGATCCCATTAGCACGGCCTGAGAAAAGCCTGGGTCACTTCAGGATAAATGCTCCTCTCCCTGGCAGCTTGAGAAGGCCCTGAAATGTGACATTGGAGCACAGGCCCCTCTCGGTCACACCACCAAGCTAAGGGCAGGTGGATGCAGTCTGTCTCTCAAATCTCTGCCTGAATTGAGAATGGCACATGAAACCGGGCTCCTGCTCCAGCTTTCCTCTCTGCCCTTTGCATTTCAGTTGTAATTAGATTGTGTGTTCAGTGGTTTTCTCCAGGTCAGATCTGCTTATCTTCTAGTGCTTAATTGCTCCAGGAGAATTCAAATGCCTGGCGCAGGCAGGATGCTCCATTCATCCAACCCTGCTGGCTCGGGTGCTATAATGCAATTGGTTAGGAAATCTACGTAAGCTGGAGGGCTCAGATCTTCTGATCTAAGGAGCTTTGCCAAGGGAACAGAAATAAAGAGTAAAGCCTATTGCAGGGAAAGCATCTAGTGAGTACTTCTGCCTGTATTTGCAGCCTTCAGTTCCGCATTGGCTCGGGGAAGGAAGGGACGATGGTGTTCAGTGTGGGGCAGGAGTCTCAGGTCTTCAAAGCCAAAACTGGACAACTGACAGTGGTAAGGCCTCAGCCAAGCCCTGGGAATGTGACTTGGGCTTTCTCCTCTGCTCAACCCCTGTAGAAAGCACAGCTCGGTTCCAGCAAGGGCCCTTTGGGTGAGTTCAGGAGGACTGGATTCATCTTGCAGAGCAGAGGTGCACGATGTAACTACTCAGTTAGTACTTACCTATGCAAGATAACATGTAATAGATGGTCATGGCTGCATTGGGAACTGCACCTTGCACCTTCCTGCTTGCTTTCCCCAGCTACCATGGGCAGAGGAACAGGGGAAGGTGTGATTCTTTGTGCTTCACTGCTGGGCTTAGTGTGTGTGATGCTGCTAGCTGACAGCTCCATGGAGGAATTGCACATGGCCATGTAATCCCCTTGGGGTACCTATTAGCTGTCCTTGCAGCCTGGAGATGAAAGGGGTAACTTTACATGCCAGCTGCTGAACAGAAACCACACAGCCTCTTTTCCCAGAGCCAGGACATCTCAAGGGCATCACACTTGTACCTGATCTGACGACTCCTTCCTTTTCTCATCCAGGTGTCAACCCAGGCAATGTCTTGATGAGCAACAGTCCCTGTTCCTGGTTGCTGTCTTGGCCAGGGGCAGAAAGGAGCCTGCAGGATGAGACCAGCACTCACACCTGCCCTGGGATCTGTGATGCCACAGGGCTGCTGTGATTTGAGTTTGCTTGCATCTTTTAGGCTCTTTTTTTATAGCTTAAAGCTATTTGATATAGCTAAATAAATGATGTTATCTCGCTGTAACATTCCAGTGAGCAAAGGTGCTCATTACACAACTACAGGGAGGCATTGGAACTGAAACCTGCAGTTCCACATGTAAAATGTCCATCTCTAGGCACTGAGTACGAGGCGAGAGCTCTGCCCAGTCAGGAGGGGTTAATACAGGAGCAGGAAGGCTTCTCTGGCTGTGCTTGAGTCTCGGCTCACCAGAAGTGCCCCAACTCTGGTCTGAAACCACCTTTTCTCTGGGGCAGGCTGGTAAAGCCTTTAGCACTGCTGTCCCCTTGAGGTGGCCAAGGGGAGGGGTGGAAGTGGGAATTCTCTGCACCTCCCACTTGGAAGCTGTTCCACTGCTGTTTCGTGTTGGGGCAAACTGATGCAGTTCCTGCTCCGGCTCTGCCTGGGCTGGAACTGCACTTTGAGAGCCTGCACATCCTGGGCTCTGCAGAGTCCCAGCTCTCTGCTGGGAGGTCAAACTAAACCAGGGGGAGGATGATGTCTGCTGTTTCTTCCAGCTCCATGGACCCCAAGGCCAGCTTCAGACAAGCAATAAAGTGACCCCCATGTAAATATGAAATATCTTCTAATTTATTGTGTTACATTAAAAAAAAAGTACATATTGCAAACATCAACCATAAACTGAGCTGCAGCTGAAGCTTTTCCTGTGCATAAGTATAAAGTAGGAGGGAATGATTGTACAGAACAGAGGAATTTGCTGCTGTTGTCTGAGAGACGGAACAACTCCATTAAGACTGAAAGGATCTACCTGCCCTTTGCTCTAAGGTAAGACTGGTGCTACAGCTACGTGGATACAGGTGGGAGTGAACACCCTGATGGGAGATTGAACCCAGGGTTAAAGCTGCTGCTGGACAAAATCACTTCCACACAGAAGACTTGAGTCACCCTACACTGCTGTGCTGTCACTACTGGTGTCTGGTGTGTGGGGCTGGAGAACCAAAGCAGCCAGGGCTGTGCTCCCTGTTACCTGTGGCAGTACCAGATGATCCAGGGCTGCTCATGGCCAGGACCTCAGCCCTGCACCCACCTTCACCTGGAAGCTGCGGAGGCAAAACCATTTACAGTCAAAAGGCTCAAGAGCTGAGAGCATTTGTGCAATGCCATTAACAAAGTCTCCCTCCACAGCCTGAGGACAAGTGGCCAGCAGGTAAAGGATGGTCGAAGGTGACAGAGGACATCTTTGCTGCTCAACTACAGCACGTGGAGGGTAAGGCAGAGCCTGCCCATAAGTGCAGTAACAAACCTGAAACTACTCCAACTCCCCTGGAGTGAGTGAACCCCAGCTCTGTAACTGCTGTACAAGGAGCAAACAGAATCATCCCCTGGTTTCTGCAGAACCTGAACGAGGAACTCCTGAAGCCAGTTAAGAACCTATTTACAGAGAGGTTAATCACAGAGCTGGGACCTCTCGGATGCTTAGCACTGGTGTCACCTCCTGGAGCTGAACCTGCTCCCGTGCTGCAGGATGTGACTGGGTTTGGTCTGAGCAGCCAGTGTGGGGGTGCTGTGTTGGAAGCAGGCAGCTCAGCACAGCTGAGGATGGGGCGGCCTGGCCTGTCCCACAGGAGAGCCAGCTCTGTGGGGTGAGCAAAGGGAGCAGGGTTTGCTGCAGGGCTACAGCGAGGGATGGGCAGGAGCACAGGGAACGGCTGGGACACAGCAGTCACACTGAGCAGCTTCAGCCAGCGCAGGGTCTGGACCCTTCCAGGGCACTGCGTCTGTTACAGACCCTCAACCCCATGCCCAGCCCAGCACCAGCCCATGAGGATCAAAGTACAGAGACCTGGAAAAGCAGAGCAATTCGGGGGCCTTCCCCTTCCACACCCCCCAGCTTATCACATCGGGAAGGTAAGAAGGGAGAGGCCCTGGGTCCTTCACAACACCACTGCACTATGGACTTCTGCAACCACGTGCAAGGACAGCCTGCAAAAGAAGCCTGTAACCGTCAGGACAGAGCTGAAGCTGTGGAACTACACGTTAACTGCTGAGCTCTTGGGAAGCAATTTCTGAAGAAGAAAGGGGAGAGGAGAGGGGTACAACAACCCCATCTGCACGTAGCTTAGAGAAGTCTTTGGTTACCAGACCGACGACCTCAGCCTAACTTCGAAATCATTTCAGCTTAATTTGATTCAAAACTGTACCCCTAAGCAAACAATACTTTATTTTAGCCTCTACAGCCAAGCTAGACTGAGTTTGGGGTGTAACTGCTCTTTGAAACACACTGGAGTAACGCAGCTGGTGATGCTGGCAACACCTTTGGTTTTTAACAGGTTAATGTGCCATTAACAGCCCTGAGCCAGGAGCTGGAATCCTTGCAGCAGGAAGATAACAAAACCCTGTAACCCCCTCACTGAGGAACAGGGACACGGAGCTGCTGCTCCATAGGAGATGTCTGGCCATTAACCCCAGCGTGAGATATTCCACATGAAGGGTCAAAACCCCTCCAGAACAGGCCAAAGTCCTCTGGTGGCTGCCAAGTTACCAGTCTGAAGTTTAAGACTCCCTACATTGGGTTTCCTTCCCTCTCATCAAGCATTAGAGCTGTGGCTCTGCGCATTAGCCTCCAGCATCCAGTCCTATTGAGTAGCACACCATCCTCCGCTGGAATTGTTACTTGAGTCCATGATAGGCAACAAGAGATGAGGAGGTAGATAAAACATTCATTCATAATAGAAAAGTACTCTTAGAACAAGCTGGACCGCAGAGGGCTCCTGCACCCACTTCAGCTCTGCCCTTCCCCACAGCTGCCGGTTCGGAAGAGACTTGGGACGTGCTCAGGGTAAGTCAGATAAGGACTAACTGCCTCTGGGCCACTCTACTCCTCGTCCCCATAGTACTTGTGTTGTCCTTACTCAGAGCAAGACAATGCTCCTGCATCGGTTACAGCACTGAGCTATAGCTCCTGCCTACTCTGGGCTGGCACAGGGGCTCTGAACCCAGCTCCTGCCTTAGCTGCAATAAGGGAAGCTCAGCTCACTGAGCTGTGAGCTGAGAGCCAGGGTCAGGCAGAAGTTCTGAGCACTCACTGGTGTCAACACCACCCTAAGGAAAAGCAATCCCATGCAGTTTGCTCCCGAGCCTCCTTCTGGAGGAATCTGAACATCTTCCACCCTTGAACCATTCAGATAAAGAAGAGAAGGGATAAAGAGCTCAGAGCTGTAGAAGCTCCACTGAACCCTTGGAGGAGCAGCTCCCCAGCACTATAGGAATCAAGTCAGCACATGTCCCGTGTCCTCCTGGGAGTCACCCTGAGCCACCAACCCTATTGGTACAGGGAGAAGGGAGCTCTGCAGCAGCTCAGGTGTGTTCAGATCACCCCAACCTCTGCCTGGGAGGAGAGAGAGGGTCAGGGAGTGCCTAGAGGGGAGCTGTGTGGCTGACTCTATGGTTTAAAGTGCAGGATAGTTACTAAAGCCAAAGGAAGCCAGCCCCCTTCCTCTCTATAGCAAAGACAAGAGTGCTGTAAGTTCAGGGCATTTCTCCAGCTGCTCAACAGGTCCTTACCGTATCTATGGGCTGCCCAGTCACCTCCTCGATCCTTGCCCTACAACTACTGCATTTAAATACCCCAACATGACCTAGTTTGTTACAAAACGTAATGTACAGCCCGCGTTGAGCGCGAGGGGAAGCGCTGCTCCCGTGCTGCAGGAGCTGGAGCAGAGGAGGGGCAGCGCTCCCGGGCAGCGCCGCAGCAGTCACTGGTGCAGATGGGCCCTGTCGTCCGGGCGCTTGATGTGAATCCTCCGCACGCGCTCGATGCGCTCCCGCTCCTCGTCCTCCTCCAGGTGATGGGAGCGCCCCGCGGCCCCCCCCGTGGCCTCCAGCAGCGCGTTGTCGGGTCCCCTCCCGTCCTGCGACTCGTAGAGCAGAATGTTCAGCGTCTCCTCGTAGATGCGGGCTTCCGGGAACTCCACCTGCCCACCCCGCAAAGAGAGCGTCACTCGCACCCGCTGCGATGGCTGCGGCCACCAGGCTACCTCAGGTTTAATCCCTGGTGCCTTTCTGGTCTCAAAGGCTCCTCACTGCACCCTGCGCACGGGAATCTTTCCCAGTGCAATCGTTTCTGTTCTGCTCTTGGCTTCCGAGCCAGCAAACGGGGTGGTTTTCAGGGCAGGAAGGTAAGGCAGCACGGGGAAGTCACGTCGCTGCTCACCACGACCTGTCTTTACACAGGGATGTCAACCAAACCCAGCTAAATGCACACGTTTGCTTGCAGATAAAGAACTGGACCGAACCTGCGCTACGGGATACCACAATCACCCTGTGTAAGTGCCGCGGGGAAGCGGCGTTCACTCCAATGCACCCCCTGGACCAGGACCACTTTGAATGGCAGTGATTATTCTGCAGAGAGGCTCAAGAAAGAAAGGAGTGCTCAGAGCAGAGCTGATGTCAGGGTGCCGCTGCCAGCAGCCCCTTGCTGGAAGCATCCAGGGCTTTGCTCTTACCTTTGTCTGTTTCTTCTCAGTAGCATAGACGATGGAAGTGCAGCAGACTTCGGCGATCTTCCGCCCCTGCCCGTAGAAAGACCAGCAGCAGATCTCATCTCCAATCACATCCTTTATGAAGAGCACCCTCCCATTAAACCTCAAGGACAGCTTGTCAAAGAGCTCGATGTTCTTCAGCATGTTGTCATCCGAGTTGCTGCAAGGGATGAAGGCAGACGTCGCTCACGTCAAGGGAACGAAGGCAGCACACGGAACACAACGGGGCTCAGGCAGTGAGCAGTCCCCTTGAACTCGCTGTGTCTCTGCCAAGGCAGTGCTTACAGCTGGCATCCAGCCCTGCAGTGGGTAACTTACTTACCCACTTTAGCACAAGCAGGAAAACCTGCTGCTGAAGAAGCAGTAATACATCAGCAGTACTGGGAATAATACTGCCCAGGACCATTTAGTTGGTGTAAAGATTGTATTGCCCAAATAAAACCAATCCTAAGCTCAAGCTCAGCACCAGCTGGACGGGAACAGCGTTGTATCATGGAACATACACAGAATAAGGAAAGGAGACAAGGTCCCGGGCTTGATTTTACCACTTACTGAGAACACTGCAGCAAGAAAGCTTCCTGCATTCAAGGAACGTGCTGCAGCCCATGGGGAATGCAGGCCAGCAGCTGGCCAGGAGCCTCTGCCAGCTGCACTGAAGTATGAGAGGAACTCCTCTGGCACAGAAATAACCTTCCATTGATGACAGCAAGCTCCATTCTGACTGAAGGTTGAAATTAATAGGGAAAAACCTGAGTGCATGCCAGCAGCAATCTGTCATTGGTTCCGAGTGAAGAGAAAGCAAATGCTTGTCATGGGTTTTAGTCTATTAAAACTTCAAACAAGTCCAGCAGAAGCCACTTACCTGGTGTAGGAATATTTGTTGTTGCTTCTGTTATAGAGCAGCTTCACTGCTGGCTGTAAAACACAAACCATGGATCGGTTACAGGCAGTACAGGAAGAGCTGGAATGCCAGCCCAGACCCAGACCCCGCAGCAGAGAAGCTACAATAGGATGTGACACCATCAGGCCCAAGCCCAGCTGTTGTTACTGTTGTTGGTGCACAACTGCCACGCACAGGTTGCCAGTGGGGCTGCAACCCCTCTGTGGCTACATCACTGCTCATTCTCACCCTCCCAACCCAGGGTGCAGCCTGGCTCCTACCTTGTTGGAAGTGGCTATGAGTTTTTGCTCTTCTTTGGAGGACGTGATGACTGGTACCTTGCAGAACGGTTCATATGCATCTTTGTTCTGCTGAAACAAGAACCAAACAGCAGCTGAACATTAAACAGACCTTAAGGCATGGTCCTATGAACTGGGAAGGTCCTGTGTGGTCTGCGCTGAAGATGTCAGTGTGCTTGTGCTGATGGCGGATCATTTGGCCATGTAAGACCCTGATGGCAGTGAAGAACAGTGCGAAGGAACCAGGCTGCTGCTCCCTGAATGCTCTCAGAGGAGGGAGCTGAACAGCTCTTTATCCCTGTGAGTGGGCAGCACTAAACATTGGGACATCTTTCTGGATGGGACCAGCCTCCAGCAGCTCAACAACGTGAACTATTTCCATTCCATCCCAGCCTCAGAAAGGCACCAAAGCGGAGACCAGCAGAGAATCTCGCTCTGCCCAGACGCTGCCTCCTCTTGTGGACCCCTCGCTGCAGGCCACAGGAACCCCCTTAGCTCTGTGACCTACCTGCAGGGCTGCTTGGCACTCGTCCACCAGCCCCTGCACCAGGTAGTACTTTGCCTCAGCCAAGAGCTCCTCGATCTCCCTGCGGCTCTCCGGCAGTGGCACAGCCCCGTCCCGCAGGTAGTTCAGGATGGTCCCAAAGTGTTTGCCACAGCGGTCGATGAGGATCCAGCCTGGGGACAGAGCAAGGGCACAGTAAGGAGAAGCGGAGGCAAACATGGCTAAAGGCCTTGACACCAAGCAGGTTCCTGCCAGGAGGGAGAGACTCCAGCTCCTTGCTTGAGCTGGGGAGCGGAGCAGCAGAGAGCCCAGGGAATATACCTCCTCCTCCTGCATTTCCAGTGCAGAGCATGGGGGAGTAAGGTGGGAAGTTCTCTTGTTTCTCATAGCTCCCCAGTTATTGACAACCATTAACTGAAACAGAGGAACAAATACTTCTCATTCTCAAACCAACCAACCCTGCTCTCCCTCTATCCCAAAGCCCTGACACGTTATTTTCTTGCCTTCTATCTTGGGGCCCTGTGACACACACGGGGCTGTTCCTCACTAAAGCCATCTGAAGCTTCTTGCACCTGAAAACAGCACAAGAACCCCCTGTGATGCAGTGGGTGTGCAAGAAGGTTGGCAGGAGAAAGGCAGCAGAGATTGGGCAGCATCATGGCAAACACTGCATACCCCCAAAGCACATTGACTTGGGTAGAACACACGGGTTATCAGCACAACATCAACTGCTGCAAGACAGTAAGTGGAATCTGAAGTACAGCTACGTGCTGACAACGGTGTGAAGGAAAGGAGACAGAGCTGCCACCAAAGTCCTTCCCAGTCAACCCGTGACCCAGGAGCTGAGCTTCGCCTCTTGTCCCCCATCTGCTGTCTGACCAGGCTGGACCCTGAGCAATGGGAGGCGATGCTGAGGCTCCAGTTTCCATAAATGAACAGATGGCCGCTCTTCCAGGCTGCAGCTCAGGAATGCAGCGAGGAAACGCTTGTGGGGAGAGACTCATATTTTGGACAAATAAGGAAAGTAGGTTAAAGCAGCCCCTGTGTGCTCTGCATGAATGGAATCGCTGGTAAAGGCTGAACATTTGGTGCAATTCGAAAGGGAATGCGGCCTTTTGCTGTGGAAAACCGAGGCACCCAAGAGCAGTTTACTACAGGCTTTCCATCTCCATCGTTGTGCTGCTACCTCAAACACAGCGTGCTCACAACTGCAGACTAGAAAGCTGGAGGCAGGAGAACTAGAGACAGAAATCAAAGAACAAGAGACTGATCCAGGCTCTACGTGGCCAACCAGAGCAGGAACAGCCCATTTGTCAGTGCAGACATATGGAAAGTGAGGTCTCCCGTTTTAAGGAGAAGAGGGAGCACCAGACATGCTAATAACCAAGGACATCCCCATTCCACAACTGCAGCGGTGACAGAGTTGGCTCGTCAACGTGCAGGAAGGTAAAGGGCAGCGCAGGAGCACAGCTCTGATCCCCAAACTTCTCTGTTATCTCCACTGTGATTCCCTTTGCAGGCTCTAAAAATCTGCTGGAGCTTTCTGTTTACAGATGGTGAAACCGAGGAGGAATTGCTCATTTTCACCTGGAGATGAGGAAACACTTCCAGCAGCATTGCGAGGTACAAGGGGGGGCTCAAGCCCTCCTGTTTTAACCAAACAGCCAAAGCACAAGGACTTAGAGCTCAGAGCAGCTTCCAGTATCTGAAGGGGGGCTATAGGGATGCTGGGGAGGGACTCTTCATTAGGGACTGCAGTGACAGGACAACGGGGAACGGGTTCAAACTGAAACATGGGAAGTTTAGGTTGGATCTAAGGAGGAAATTCTTTCCTGTTAGGGTGCTGAGGCACTGGAATGGGTTGCCCAGGGAGGTTGTGAATGCTCCATCCCTGGCAGTGTTCAAGGCCAGGTTGGACGAGGCCTTGGGTGCCATGGTTTAGTGTGAGGTGTCCCTGCCCATGGCAGGGGGGTTGGAACTGGATGATCTTAAGGTCCTTTCCACCCCTAACTATTCTATGATCCTATGACTCACAGGGAAATGACCCTGTCCCGCTCAGCCATGGCTGTGCAGAGCCCAAGAAGTGGGTTTCAATTAGAGTCCTTTGAAGCTATTTTAATGGCAGCATTACAGAAGTGCCCTGTGATCCATTTACCAAGGGAGGAACCCCTGAACTGGTACCTCCTCATGGTAGGAATTCATCTCTTGTTTTACAACGACTCTCAGGGACAGCATCCAAACACTCAAATGGAACCAGGCTGCATTTTCTGGCTAAGCTTTGACAGATGAAACAGCAGCCTGACACTGAAGCCTGATGATGGAGCCTGCCTGATGCTCAAGTCTTACTGGGAGCTGGATAAAAACATGCACCTCCATCTGTTGATCAATAGCTAAGAGAGGGAAACAGCCACACTGCAGAAAAGAAACCTGGAAAGAAAGGGATGCACCTGGAAAACTTACCCCCTTCTCTCTGCTCTTTACCATAAGATGGTCAAATATGACAATGTGCCACAGCTCATGGACCATTTCTAAGCTGCAACCACTCGCCCACCACCAGAGAGAACTCAAAGGCTTTCCTGTCTCCCGGTTGCAGTTGTTAAGCTCTGAGATGGTGCTGGGCTCAGGAGAATGCACCTGAACCAAGAGGAGCCCTCATGACCCATTCCAGAGGCTGGTTCAAAAGTTGCCTCCTTCCAGCTTCAGCTCTTTTCCTCAGAACCACTGTGTTTGGGCCAGGCTCTGGGTGTGCCCAACGGGGGTTGTTTTGAAGGAGTTCAGATAAAAAGGGTTTCCTTTAACAGCTCCAATACCATTGTCCCAGTTTCCAGTGTCACACCAGGCCCGGGGAGATAAAGCAAGGTCTGCTGCAATGGGAGTGTCTCAGTTACAACAGACAGGAAGTATCAAATTCCTATTAAAACACAGACTGGCAGAACGGAGCAATCCCACACGGACACTGTGGGATCCAGAGCAAAATCAACTTGGGATTTGCTGCCTTGAGTACGAGATTTTAGCACTTTAAACTCCAGCTACCCTCACATCAGCAGGGATTCTGTCAGCTGCTCTCCAGCAAGCCGACCTGAGCTTACAGCCTTGGGAATGGGACGGGATGTACCAGCCCTCCTGGGGTACCTACCCAGGACGCCCGGAGGAAGGGCCGGGACCACGCCAGGGTGGGCTTCCTCAATTCACTTGGAATTGCTGCTTGGCAAGTGCCAGATTAGGGCCTGAGGTTGAGCAGCAGGGGGAGAGGTCCCCAAGGCTCCAGCCATCCTTACAGACAGGGTAGCCAAGCCCATCAGCTGTGCTTCCAGTTAAACTGTGACACTCCCACAACATCCATGAGGACCCTGCTCTGAACCTCTGCTCCCAGCTGCACTCATCACACACACGTTTTAGCTATAGCATTAGTTCAAATGTTTTCAAGAATCTCAGATCATCAGAAGATAAAATCAGTGTATCTGGTAAGGAAGTGTTCAGGCACTGCTCCTTGAGAAGGCTGCTGTTTGACATCCTGCATGTTCCTTCTTTCCAGACACATTTAACACGGAGAGAGCCATTCGCCAGCTCTCTCCTTTGATTGTCACTAGTACAACAGCAAGTTTCTGGCTCTGTTGCACTGAAGGAAACAATCCATACTCTCATAAGAAAACTATTTCATTTCCAAAATATCAGCTTTTAGCTTTTAAACCAGGGTCCCAGTGTTCAGAGCACGTTTTATACGTAGATTTAAGGTAAGGGAACAAGATAAGAGAACTGCCTCCTGGGCTTCAACGTAAATACCCAAGCCCTGACTCACTCATAGCTTCTTAATCTCTCTCCCACCATCTTCCATACGCTTGAGAGCTTCAGTGTCAGTGTTCCAAAAGTACATCCCATACTATCTGGGCCTGATAGGAGCCTTGGGACTTGGTACTGTCCTTCTGCTGTCCAGACAACTATTCAACTCATAGAATTCCAGCCTGGTTTGGCTTGGAAGGGACCTTAAAGCTCACCCAGCTCCAACCCTGCCACGGGCAGAGACCCTTCCACTGGTCCAAGCCCCTGTGTCCAACCTGGCCTTGAGCACTGCCCGGGATGGGGCAGCCACAGCTTCTCTGGGCACCCTGTGCCAGCGCCTCAGCACCCTCACAGGGAAGAGCTTCTGCCTAAGAGCTCATCTCAGTCTCCTCTCTGGCAGGTTAAAGCCATTCCCCTTGGCCTGTCCCTACAGGCCCTTGTCCAAAGCCCTTCTCCAGGTTTCTTGTAGCCCCTTTAAGCATTGGAAGACTGCTGTAAGGTCTCCCTTTGGTCTCCGTATGACTCCTCCCAAGTCACACGAGCCTTTTTGTTCCACACCTTTTCTCAGCTGTATAAGCTGAGCTTCAGGACTTACAAACCACAGAAACACCTGGGCCTACGACTACATGCTCCTCTCCATTCTCTAACACTTTTTTCCAACCTCTTCTGAGCTCTTTCCACTGCAGGGGAAGGAAACCAGCACGAGGACACGAGGGCAGCCCCTTACCTTCGCTGTCAGTGAGGACTTCCATCCGGCCACTGAACATGGCCTTGAGCATGGTGTCCTGCTTGGTCAGGGTCTGCATGGTGGTGTAGTAGAGGGCACCGCCAATGTTGAGCTTCACATACTTGGAGCTGGGGCTGGTGCCTTTGAAGGAGGTGGTGCGAGTGGCCGCCGCTGGCACTGCTGAGCTCACCACGCTTTCTCCCGACATCTCTTCCTGCAAGGAAGGAGGGAGCGGTTACACGGGCAGCCCCGACACGCACCACCCTGCTCACGTCACTGGGGTTATTTACACAGAGCATCATCAGCCTCAGCTCCTCTCTGAACTCCTCAAGTGTTTTAGACTTGGTCTTTGTTCCCAGCCAAAGACCATACATGACCCTGGCCACTGAGGAACCCCGTGAACACTGAGCAGCATTTCACACCGCAACAGCCAGTGCCTTCCCACAAAGACTGTGTTCATTTCTTCCACAGCTTCTACAGCTTAAGCTCTTCCTTTACCAATAATCTGGTAACTGAACAATTCCCAACACCCAGAGCTTGAGCGGACGATTCCTGTGTGTTAAAATACAGCCTATCCACAGCTCTATTCCCTTAAAGCACACACGGGCTTCCCACTCCCTTCCCTCCTTAGGACACCAAAACCCAATGTCCCACGTCCCCACTACCTCTGCCCACAGTGCCCAGTCACTCCCGGTTAGTCAGCTAATGAGCTCACGGGCTGTAACAGGAGCCCTGCTGGCTTAGCCCCACAAATGCTCTGAGAGCCGCTAACCATAAATCCTTAATCAAGCCATTAACTGTTAACGGTTCTGGTGTCAGGGTGAGGGGGTGGCGGACACCTCAAGGCAGCCCCGGGTCCTGCCACCTCCGCAGCACGCTGAGTGCTTTGGGCCCTGCTGTCACTTAAAGCAGGACGATCCCGTAGCAAACGTGACGGAGCCGCAGCTCCGCGGGCGCCTTGTGCTTCACACGGCGAGGAAGTGGCACGGGCAGAGGTGCCCACAGGGGCCCATTCCCTCTGCCCGTCTGGAGCCGCCTGCAGTGCAAAGGCGCCACGCTCCGGCTCCAGCTCCCTCCAGCCACAGGGACCGGTCCCCATCACCCTGACAGGAGCCCCAGCGCACCAGGCCACAGCCCAGCACCCTGGGGCACAGAGCCCCCATCCCCAGGCGCCATCCTGGGCTGACAGTGACAACCACACCAGTGCTCCCCCCCACACACACCCCACAGCTGGGGGACCGGATCCCCCCCCACAGCAGCCCTGCACCCGCTCTCCGAGCGCCCCCCCCCCCCCATAACCCCCCCTTCACCAGCACCGCGCCCCTGGGGACTGGGACCCCCGCACCCCGTCACCCACCGGGGGGCCGGGTCCCCATCTCCTGCCTGCCCCCAGCCCCCGCTGCCCCCCGGCCCCCCCTCACCATGAACGGCGCGGCGCAGCCCCACGGACCGAGCGAGCGGGAGCGCCGGGGCGGGGGAACTTCCGCCCCTCGCGCCACTTCCGCCCCCGCCCGGGTGCGCCGCCAAATCCTTCCGATGTCCCCTCAGCCTCCTCCGGGCGGCGCCGCGCTGCGCTTCCGCATCACGGGCTTGGCCCGGCCCGGCTCGGCTCGGCTCGGCTCGGCTCGGCTCCCGGCATCAGCGAGACTCAGAGCCGCTGGTTTCCCTGTGCGGAGCTGGTGGGTGAGGGAGCGAGCGAGCGAACGGAACGAACGCGGCGGTGCGGGTTGCCGGGCGGACCCGCAGCGCGGATACAGGGGGAGGCTGCCGGGCAACGGGGCGCTGGGCCTCGGCCTGAGGCGACGGAGCCGCCCGGGCGCCGGCGGGACGAGGTGAGGCCTGCGGGGCTGCGAGAGGGGCCGGGGGGGCTCTGCCGGCCGCTCTGCGGGTGGCTTGGGCAGGGGCCGTGCCTTGGAGCCCCGCTGTGGGTGCCCCGTGGCTCCGGTGCCGGCTGTGCGGGTGGCTGCCGATCGGTTCCAGGGCCCTGCCGCGCTTTAGGCTTGTGTTGTACATCAGATGAGCTCCCTCACCTTAACCGTGAGGGGGTGCCCGTGCCGGGAGCCACAGCGAGCGGTGCTGCGCCTCTCCTGGAGCCTTTCTGGCTTCACGTTCTCTTGGGGGTGTATTTAGGGGTGAGTCCGGTCAAAAGCACTTGGATCTGCAAAGGTAAAGCCTGAACCCCCGAATCGCCCACAGGTAATGCCCCTCTCTGGGCAGGAGCCGCCCGAGGCCAGCGGGTGAGCACCATGTTTGGGTGTGAATGACTGCCGTGCACCTCCTGTGACGGGGTAAGCCCTCAGGTGAGTTTGTTCTTGAGGATTTATAAAGCCCTGGTTGGGTCTGTGCGTTTTGTCTTGTTGGGTGGCAATAAAGGAACTTCCAAGCATCTCCTATGCCTTTTCCCTCATATCCTTGCCTATAGAGCTATAGAACATAGTTCTTGCCTATAGAACTATAGAACATAGTTCTTGCCTGTAGAACTGTTCTTGTCCTTTATCTCTAAAGAGGAAAATGAAAGCAGCTAAGACCAGAAAGGGGAGTTGCAGTGCAAGGAGTGGAGCACAATGACACCACACTGAGCATTTATTTGATTTCTCTTAAAATCTACTTATAGAATCATAGAATAGTTAGGGCTGAAAAGGACCTTAAGATCATCCAGTTCCAACCCCCCTGCCGTGGGCAGGGACACCTCACACTAAACCATCTCACCCAAGGCCTCATCCAACCTGGTCTTGAACACTGCCAGGGATGGAGCATTCACAACCTCCCTGGGCACCCCATTGCAGTGCCTCACCACCCTAACAGGAAAGAATTTCCTCCTTAGATCCAATCTAAACTTCCCCTGTTTGAGTTTGAACCCGTTCCCCCTTGTCCTGTCACTGCAGTCCCTAATGAAGAGTCCCTCCCCAGCATCCCTATAGCCCCCCTTCAAATACTGAAAGCTGCTCTGAGGTCTCCCCGCAGCTTCTCTTCTCCAGGCTGAACAGCCCCAACTTTCTCAGCCTACTTCTCTGCATTATGTTGTGGGCATTGCTGTAGTGCTTCTGATCTCGTTGTCTGTGTGTTGCTGCAGTCCCATTGCCAAGTAACCATGGCTTCCCGGGCCGTGCGCTGCACACATTGCTCTCTGTGCCGCTGGGTTCTCCCCTTGCCCTACTTCGCTGTGTGCTGTCGACCTTCAGGAGGAACATAAAGGCTTCCCCCTGCCTGTGTGTTTTGTGCCCTCTGCTCCTTGTTCCCAGGTGTTTGCTGCAGTGAGCCTCTGCTGCCTCGCTCCCAGGTGATGAACATGTTCAGTGCGAGCCAGTCCTCCAAAGCCCAGTTCCTCGACAAAGCGCGCCAGGCCCGGGAGGAGCGGCGGGAGCTGAAGGAGCGGGAGCGTGCTGCGGTGCTGCTGCAGGCTCTGGTCAGGAGGTTCCTCTGCCGATGCCGCCTGCAGAGGGAGATAAGGTGTGTGGGATCCTCCCTTGGCTCCTGCCTGGAGACGTGCGCTGGGTTTTCACCTTCTGATCCTCGTTGTTGCCCTCTTTGGTAGGAGAGAAGTGGAGGATTTCTTTGGGACAAATGAATCTGGCTCGAGCAAAAGGAGTGCTCTTTCCGTCTTCAGAATTGCTAGGAAACTGCTGTTCGTATTTAATCACAAAGAGGACAAAGAGGTAAGGGGGCTACTCTGATGGGCTTTTCTTTTGAGAACGCATTTTAACATGTTAACTATGGTTAATTAGTTTCCTAGTGATGGTGTAGGTTCCTGTGTTGTGTTTTGGCTTCAGAAATGTGATCTCTGTTTCCTGGTCCTTCTGGGCGAGATCTGCCTGTAGGAATGAAACACAAGAAGCCTTGAATTTTTCAGGAGCAATTTCCTATTCAGGATGTAGTTTAATGGATGCTGTTCCTGGTGACTGTGCCAACCTCAGTAACTGAGCAGCTTCCTGACTTTGTCAGCTGCATCAGCTCCCCAGGCAGGTGCGCTGTGGCCAGTCACAGATTGCTCTCCTGGCACAGTGCAATGTGTTGGCTGTTTGTATTGCAGCTGCTTTTCTGACCATGCCCTCAACTGTGGTTTCAGAGTGAAGCCCTTTGCCATAGTGTCTATGAAATAATGATGAGGGCAATTATAAGGCAAACAATTGGAAAAGGAAAGGCTGTAGTTAAATTGCAGCTGCAGTGGGTGACTTCTTTAATCTCTGTTCCCTCAAACCCCTGTTGATGGGGCAAGTGCTGCAGATTCACTTTTCTGTAGGTACAGCATCAAAAAGAGATGTGTGTGTTATCCAACTCTTTTAATGCCTGGCATCCATCTGCAGTTCTTCATACAGTAATTGGGTGTGTTGCTGAAAAGTTCCTGCTCTGCTGCTTCTTCTTCCCCTTCCACCATCAAGTCAGTCCTTGCTGGGCTGAGGACTAGATTGTGCTCATTCCCACTCTTATTTCTGGACTCTGCTCTTGCTTCAGATCCCCACAGCAGCCAAATTTGTGGCTCAGCATAGCTTTATAACTTGTGAGCATCTGGCAAATACAGTTGGACCGAAATAATCATTAAGGAGTTGGGGGTGTGATCCCCCCCAGAGCTGTGATAGTCAGGAGTTTGGAACACACTGCTGCACTCATTAGCATTATGTTGTTGTGGCTGAACCCCAACAGGAAGATGCTTTCCCTGGCTTCAGCTCGTGCTGTTGAGAGGGGCAGTTTAACAGGGATGGCTGAGACATTCCTCCTGTTGTTGAGCACCGTGGTCAAGGAGGGAACTCCTCTGCGTAGCTGTAAGCGTGACGTGCAGATGTGCTCTTGGGGAAAGAGCAGGGAATGTGTCTGGAATATTTGTTGGTTTGATACAGATGTGTCTGACTCCCTCTGCTGAGCTCTTCCTTGTGCTTTTCCAGAGTAGCCCATCCTGTAGTTAGAACTAATGCCACTTGCTTTTTCCCCCCAGAGATTTGAGAAGCTGTGTCGTTGTATTCTTAACAGTATGGATGCTGAGAATGAGCCCAAGGTCAGCAGAATGGGTTTTGGTTGGGGGTGGGAGGGTTGTTTGGGTTTTCTTCATTCTATGTGTGGGGATTTAGTGGTTTTTCAGTGAATTTTGGGGAGAGAAGTAACTTGGTCCTGCTGCTGGGTTCAGCAGGGCACTGAGGAGGTTGCTTTGTTACAAAGCTTCCAAAGTAATGTTTTCTGTCAGTCTGTAGCACACATACTAATGTTGCTCCCATTTGTATCCTGCCTTCCTCAGGTGTGGTATGTGTCCCTGGCGCTCTCCAAGGATCTTACACTCCTGTGGATCAAACAGATCAAAGACATTTTGTGGTTTTGCTGTGAATTTCTCAAGCAGCTTAAGGTAAGGAATATTTTCTCTGTGTTTTGCACCCTGCATGTCACAGGTCTGTAGTTTGGCCCAAAGCTCATTTAATTTGTTAACACTGGTGTTTGTTATGGCAGCCTGACATCCTACAAGACTCCAGACTGGTCAATTTGCACCTCACAATGCTTGTCACCTTCACAGACACTTCCACATGGAAAATCCTTCGGGGAAAAGGTTGGTGCATCCAATTCAGTGCTTCTAAGTCACTGATTTGGGACTTGCTATTAAAATCTACCAAATGCTGTTTGTGCACCTTGTCTTCTCCCTGTGCTTGCTGCAAAGATTCATTGTGCTTCTTGCACAAAGCACAGAATGAACACCAACGATTCCCTGGGGATTAGACAGGCTGTTTCCCTTAGAGCAGCAACAGTTGTTACAACATTTTTATAATGCTTCAAAATCCCACACATGAGGGCAGTGTTCAAAGGATGCTGGAATGTGCTTAGCACTGGGGGTTTATAGGAAATGCACATAGAAAAGGTGGACGAGTGTTGTAAGGAAATGAGACTCTTGCACCTTAAGACTTGATGTGAAATGCTGCTAAAATGGTGGCTTTGCATATAAGGGACTTTGTGCAAGAACGACTTACGGGGTGATGAACTGTTTTAGAGTGTGTAAGGAAGTGAAGAGTGATGCCAGTTTAGTAACACTAGTGCTTTAACCCATAAGGTGAAACCCTGAGGCCTGCCATGAACCACATTTGTGCAAACATCATGGGACATCTGAATCAGAAGGGATTTTACTCCGTGCTGCAGGTCAGTCTTGGGCTGATACAGTTCTGTCTTCTCTTCATGCAAAACAAGCCCCAGTCCTGTGCCGTGGTCCTTGTTCTGAGGAAGCTTTTATAATCTCTGTGGTGGTGTGTTGTGGTTGTGGAGCACTGGGAATTTGTGTGTGGTCAGTTTTCTTTGAAGCAGTAAAAGCAGAGTCTTTCCACTTGAAACAAATGCGCTGTCTCCTTTTTGCCACTGCTGCTGATTCTGACTCCTACTTAATCATCTCTCATGAGACAGACAGGAAGGAGTCTTGAATATCTTCCCAAACTTTGCTGCTGCCATGTTGCATGGATTTGGGTTATTTACTGTTCTGCTGGGGAAAGATGCTCATGGCATTTTTCCTCATCCTTTAAATGAGAATTATGTTACCAAGCAGCTGTGAGCCCTGCCTGCTCATTTGTAAAGGCCTGGAGACGTTCTGGGTACAGGTCCTAGAGAAATAAGTACTGTAGAGTGTGTGATTCCATTGCATTGTCTCTGTTCTGCTGTTGCTAACCCGAAGCTCTTTTAGTTCTGCCAAATGACTTGTAATAACGGGGTTTTGGGTTGCTTTGGTGGTGTTCTTTCTCTCTGGTCTAAAAATGTCTTTCAGAAGTAATCATAATCTTTTTTGCTGAGGGGGTTTGTGTGGTTTTTGATTACTTTTATTATTTTAATTTCCAGATTTTGCTGACTAATGGCTTGGCAAGATCCAGACCTTCCCTGTCCAAAGGCTCTTTAACTGCTGTCTTCTCTCTTGCACTGCGGTAAGGCAGCCAGAGCAGCTTGGGATGATGTGCAGCCAAAGCTGTCCTTCTTGTGCTTTTGAAACACTCCCCATTGCTTGGTCAGGTTACTTGCATTGAAGTATTTGTCTCTCTGTAGCCCTGTGGTCGCTGCACAGTTTTCAGACAACCTGCTGAGGTCATTTCTGATCCATATCATGTCTGTGCCTGCTATAATGACTCATCTTGCTACTCTAACACCTGAGGTAAGTGGGTGATGTAATAGCACCCAAACCCTACTGAATGTCACGTAGGGTCACTTGTTGTTCCATTTTATCAGCTCTTGGAACAGAGCACTGGCATTTCTGTTTGCCAGTTTCAGCTCTCTGCTGTGGAAGTGCTTGATCCCTAGATGCTCCAGATAACTTCTGTGGTGTTAGAAACCCAGAGTTATTGATCATAGAATCACAGAATAGTTAGGGTTGGAAAGGACCTTAAGATCATCCAGTTCCAACCCCCCTGCCATGGGCAAGGACACCTCAAACTAAACCATGGCACCCAAGGCTTCATCCAACCTGGTCTTGAACACTGCCAGGGATGGAGCATTCACAACCTCCCTGGGCAACCCATTCCAGTGGCTCACTATCCTTACAGTAAAGAACTTCCTCCTTATAGCCAATCTAAACTTCCCCTGTTTCAGTTTGAACCCATTACCCCTTGTCCTGTCACTACAGTCCCTAATGAAGAGTCCCTCCTCAGCATCCCTATAGGCCCTCTTCAGATACTGGAAGGCTGCTCTGAGCTCTCCATGCAGCCTTCTCTTCTCCAGGCTGAACAGCCCCAGCTTCCTCAGCCTGTCTTCATACGGGAGGTGCTCCAGTCCCTGATCATCCTCGTGGCCTCCTCTGGACTTGTTCCAACAGTTCCATGTCCTTTTTATGTTGAGGACACCAGAACTGCACACAATGCTCCAGGTGAGGTCCAGGTGATGCCAGTGGGTGATGGGCTGAGCTGCCCGAAAACAGATAAATGAATAAAATAAGACACATTTTGGGCCACATGGGTATTCTGTAGACAGTTGCAAACGTCTGTCTAGAACAAGAACATAGCCTGTGCACCTGCAGAGTGTTTTGTTTCCTAGACCAGCTTCATGTCAAACACTCCCTTCAGTGCCACAGGCTCATCTTGCTGCTTTCTTTGGCAAGAAGTGACAGTCCAACTTGGTGATGGCAGGCGAGGTGTGGTTCTGTGTGGTGCTTCTCAGCCTCACTGGCACTTAAATTCTGACTTCCAGCGTCTGGTGGTGATAGAATCCCATGAGCTTTTCCGCAAATTCATCCTCTTTTTGAGTCGGGAAGCACAATGCCAGGATGTCTGCGTGTGCTTAGAGGGGAGTCACACTCTCTGTTTGTTAGGTAAGCACCCTAACACTTCTTTGTTTGACTGTGCTTGGAAGATAGTCTTGATTCAGATCTTTCTCCATGGGTCAGAGCTGCCTCCAAATCATCTGGGGGGTTTTATCCTTATCTAAATAGCTTCTAAATAATAAGAGATGTGTTTTGGGGGTATTGTAAATGTGTTTTAAGGCCCTTAGTAATGGAAGAAGGGGCAGAGACTTGCTCTTGTATACCTGTCATCATACCTAAACTGTGTATTATCCCTGCTAGCTTTTCACCTGGACCATGAGAAAGTCTTGTAGCATATCAGACTTGAATCTCACTTCCCTAATAGGCATGCTACTGAAGTATTGAAGTTCACATTGCTGTAAAAGTAACTAGAGGAACAGATGTAACTCTGGAATAACCATGGATTGTAGCTTTATAGTACTTCGTAGAAGGTATTGGTGGGATGCAGGTGGCCATAGGAACATACCACCTTAGTGACTGATGTGTGCTGGAAATAGCTTGCCTCCTGTAGCCATTCTTCACAAAAATTCTCTCCTGACCTTGGAAAAGGGTTTGGGTTCATTTTGGCTGCTCTCTCTGTAACCGCTGTCCTGCAGCATCTGTTCCTCTTTTAAATCTCACTGTGCTGGTCGTTCCTCCAGGGAATCTTGTGTTCCTGGGCTCCTTGAATGATAAAGTTCTTGAGGAGGAGACAGCTCACTTTGTGGGTGTGCTCATTCACATGCTCTCCTACTGCCAGAAGTACGTGTCACAAAAGAAATCCAACCTCACCCACTGGCATCCTGTTCTGGGCTGGTTTTCACAGACTGTGGATTATGGGTGAGTGAGGAGGACCTTCTGCTGATCCACGATGAAGCTTCTCTCTCTATTTTTCCTCTTCTTTTTATGCTGAAATGTGGTTTCTGGTTTGAGATGAACAGTGTGACCCTATTCAGAATAACTTCTCAGATGTTTCAGGTTATAACTATGAAATCTGCACAATACAAACTGCTGCATTCATACACAGAATATGAGATTAGAAAAATCAGTTAGTATACACCCAATATAGGACCTGTGTATCAGTTCTTCCTGTGAGGACCAGCTGTAGGGAGGGTGCATGCTCCATTTTGACTGTGAGTTGAATGTATCACACTATCACTGGCTGGTGTTTTATTCCAGCCTGCCTTCTAACATGGCTCTCTGACTTGTCTTTCAGATTGAATGAGTCCATGCCTCTGCTGACAAAGCAACTGCAGCATCTCTGGGGAGTCCATATGATCCGCATCCTCTTCTGTGATGTGCTCAGCAAGAAATTGCTGGAGAATCAGGAAATAGCTCAGCTGCCATTACAGCCCATTTCCCCTCAGAACAGCCTTCCTATGAAGAGTGAGTTCTACAGGGCTCCCTTTGTGTGTGTGTACATGTGTCTTTCTCTCTCCCAGACTCGCAGGGCTTTGACTTCTCCACTTAGGCTAAAAGCTTTGAGTAGTTACTTGCAGCAGCTGCTGCTGCTTAAGTGGGGATCTGATCTCCCTGATTGTAATTCCTGCTCGGAATGCCTCTGTAGCCTGGGGTGTCTCTTTGGTGCTATAAAAATTACTTACTTATTTTAGCAGCTTTTACTCTTTCTCAAGTAGCTGAGGTGCTTTCTGCATAACTTAGAACTTCCCAGGGCAAGGTGGGAGCCCAGCTTCCCAGATGAAAAGCAAGGTGAAGCTGCCTCATGTTGCTAGCAGCAATGCAGTGATCTGCCAGATAAGACCACCAAAACCTACTGTCTGGGGGGGGTGACCCAGTCTGCCAAAATCCATTTTATTGCAGGGCTGCCAAGTGTCTGAGTGTGAGTGGGTTTGAATCACATTCCTCATGTGCTTCTCTCTCCCCCAGATCTGTTCAAAAGAGCTTTCCAGAAGTCAGCCTCTGTCCGCAACATCCTCAAGCCTGTTGGAGGCAAGCGAGTGGACTCGGCTGAGGTGCAGAAGGTGTGCAGCATCTGTGTGCTGTACCAGACCACGCTCACAACGCTGACACAGATCCGCCTGCAGATCCTCACAGGTCAGGGCCCATCAGTGCTTTTTACATCACTTAAAATGGAGAGAAAAAGAAAGGTTTTTCTTATTAAATTCTATTGACTTATTGGTAGTTTTATTACTGACAGCAGTTCATTGACTGCTGGGTGGAAGGCTTGTTCCATCTGGGATCATACATCTGATCAATAACATTCATCACTTCTTTATCAAGCATTAACTCCCCAGAATACAAACTGAAGCAAGTTTTCCTGTAATGAAACCTTGGTTACTCCATAGCAAACTTAAGACTGAGTCAGTGTTTTCGAGAAGCCTGGCAATATTAATCTTTATGGTGGAAACACTGAATTGCTTTCATACGTCTTGAGAACAAATGACCTGTCTTAGGAATGGATGGAGGAGGAGATAAGCAGTGCTTTGGTCTAGTGACTAGAGCAGAGGGATAAGCACAGAGCCTTGGTTGCTTTGTGGCTGTAGTGCTGACCACAGGTACAAAGTCATTCTTTGTGTTCTCATCTCTAAGATGGCTCTAATGGTGATTGGACCACAGGAATTCATTCTTTTCTAAAGCTGCAGAATCATAGGAAGGGGTTTCAAATGTGCAAACTAATTGCTTGTTAAAAGCTTTTTTTCCTCTTCCCTGGGGATTGAGCATCTCTTGTTAATGCAGGCAGGCTTGGGAGCCAAATGTGATGCTTATGTTGCCAGAAGTGTTGCTTTTGCAAAAGGATCTTCAAGCTCCAAGTCACGTTGGTCTCCCTGGGCCTGCATGAACAAGCTTTACTGAATGTGCATTATGTTTTTCTAGGCCTCACCTACCTGGATGATCTGTTGCCCAAATTATGGGCCTTTATCTGTGAGCTGGGCCCTCAGGGTGGGTTAAAGCTCTTCTTGGAGTGCTTGAATAACGACACGGAGGAATCCAAGAGGCTGCTGGCCATGTTGATGCTCTTCTGTGACTGCTCCCGCCACCTCATCACGTAGGTATCAAGCTGAGGGTGCTCTCTAGGTTTGTAACATGAAGCTGTTGTGTTCCTAAAGTTTCAAGTGGAATAGTTAAGGTCTTGCTGCCTTCCCCTAGAGATAACTAGGCATTTTGAGTCCTGATAAGCCTTGAGGGAGAATGTTACAATACTGCTGCAAGAAAGCTCCCCAGCTTATGAGCTTCTCTTTACAACTCCTTTGCTGTCTCACTCCTAGACTTACCCAACACAAAGGATTGGAGAAGGGGTGGAAAGCTGCCCTGGCTGCTCAGTAGTGACACTTTTCTTGGCTTGAATGATCCAGAAGTTTTCCAGAGGATGAGTGCATAGGTCCTTTTAACTAAGAAATAGTTGCTTTGCTTCTATCTCAGACCTTTCATGCTGTCTTCTATTAGGATCAGATACCGATCAAAATCAGTAAATAAGGGTTAGTTGTTTATGACTTCAGATCTTCATGGGTATCAGTTGTCATAGAAATAAGAGCTGCTGCTGTAGGATAATGGGCCTTTATGAAAATTTCAAAAGGGAATTCAATTTACACTTGTGCATTTGCATTTGTTTGCTCTGGTAGGATTCTGGATGACATAGAGGTCTATGAAGAGCAGATTTCGTTCAAACTGGAAGAGCTTGTTACCATCTCATCTTTCCTGAATTCCTTTGTATTTAAGATGATCTGGGATGGAATTGTAGGTAAGTTCTTGTAGTAACTTCAGGTGATGTTATTGTTAGAACAAGTGATGATGAGTTTGGAATTTGAAGCTCCTGCTAATTATTACTTTGCACAAAACCCATACTGCATTGTGTGACATGAGAACATGTCCCAGTCTTTTGATGTCCAGATGCCACTGTCCTGCTTGGCACCAAACACAGTGCACTTTTTCATTTCCTATAAGAATTTGTGTACCAGACATGATGGGTATGTTGTTTAGTGCCAGAGGCTAAGTTTAGCATGACTGGGCCATGTGTTGGGCAAGAGTAAGACGGTGCTTTGCCAAAGCAGAGTGGGCTGGCTCAGGTCTCTGTAGATATCTAGTGTTGACCTATATGCTGGTATCATCTGGGTACAGCTCTAATAATTAGATGAGAGAGTCCATTACTGTTGGGATGGCTCAGTTGGAGCTGGCTGAGGTGGCTTTGATGTGGTTAAGATCAAAGAAGGTGCTGTCTGTCTTCTGGGAGGCACAAAATCTCCTCCTAACCTCTGAAGGCAGTGGAGGTTCAGAGAAATACACTGCTGCTGGGAGTGTGGAGCAGATGATGAGCATGTTACTCTTGGACACTCGTGTTACCTGGGGTGCCTGGCCATTGCTGCTTTGTTCCTTTTGTTCAGAGAATGCCAGAGGGGAGACCTTGGAGCTGTTTCACTCTGTCCATGGCTGGCTCATGGTCCTGTATGAAAGGGACTGCCGCAGGCGATTTGCTCCTGAGGATCACTGGTTACGCAAGTAAGTGTCCAGCTCAAGGCATGGACCCTGTGCAGCTGTGGGCTTGTCCTCCTGTGGAGGCTGGTTTGGGATCCCTTCCTTGAAATCGGGTGCCTCTTGTTCTGCCCCTGAGATCAGGGTCAGAACTGCTCCCTGTGTTTGCATGTAAGGACACCCCTGCTATTGGGCTTCTCTTCTGTGGTATACGGATTAGCTGCTGCTCATGGAGGGTGGTGCTTTGAAAACTGACTCAGCACCTACCTGCTTGAGTGTCTCTTCTTAGATGTGTACGCCTGAGCATTTAAGTTGTGTTTGAAATCATTACAGGTTTCCTCTCTCTCCCACCCCCAGCTGTTTATACCACACATGGGCATTTCTCAGGGATCTCTGAATCTGTGCCTTTCTTTGTAAAGGGACCTCAAACCCAGTGTGCTCTTCCAGGAGCTGGACAAGGACAAGAAACGAGCTCAGCTGCTCCTGCAGTACATCCCACATGTCATCCCCCACAAGAACGTGAGTGGGGCAGGGGCAGAGGATGGAGGCTAAAAACCTGGTGGCCTGGGGTGGAAGGGATGTGTGTCTTGAGCATTTTGTGGCATGGAGCTTGTGATTGAAATACCAGTGGAACAAAATCATCTCCTGCCCCTCCCCAATATACTTCCTCTAATGTGTCTTGATTTCTCATTGAGAGAGAGCGGATTTGTGTGGGCAGCTGCATAGACTCCTCCAGCAGTGCATGATGTGGCTTTGGAGAAAAAAGCAAAGTGCCTTAGATGAGAGATCTTTATGTGGTGATAGGAAAGGTGCTTTTCTACAATGTACAATGTCCCTCCCAAAGCAGAGCTTCGAGGATTTCTTGGCCCCACTGTTCCTAGAGAGTAGATGGCATCATTGGGCCTTGCTGGGAGCAGGACAACCTGCACTGCAGGGTAAGGAGCCTTGTGGATGAAGACTTACATTTGTTTTCCCCTTAAGAGGGTTCTGCTTTTCCGTAACATGGTGACAAAGGAGAAGGAGAAGCTTGGCCTGGTTGAAACCAGCTCTGCATCCCCTCACGTCACACACATCACTATCCGCCGCTCACGTATGCTGGAGGTGAGTAACCAGTGACTCGGTCTGGCAGGAGTATGGGGTGTGAGTATGTTGTTACCTCCTCCTCTGTGGGTGCTGCGGGGCCCATGCCAGTCTGTCTGCTTTTGGATGAAGTAGTGTTGCAGGATGATGAACCTTAGTTCAGATCAGCTACAAACCTGGAGTCCTGACGAGGAAGAATGCTGGTCTGTTTGAACACAATATACAGTGGCAGGTGCAGATTGCTGTGGTTTAGGTGTCTCCTGTCTCTGCTGCATGCTGTGAGGGTGTTTCACGTGTCTCCCTGTGTGACTGTCCTCTGGCTCCTCCGCTCCGTGTAGGATGGATACGAACAGCTACGGCAGCTCTCCCAGAATGCCATGAAGGGAGTGATCAGGGTGAAGTTTGTGAATGACCTGGGAGTCGATGAGGCTGGGATTGACCAAGATGGGGTCTTCAAAGAGTTTCTGGAAGAGATCATAAAAAAAGTGTTTGACCCTGCACTCAATCTGTTCAAGGTATGATGCAGGGCTGCAGAAGCTGACCACAGTGACCCATTGCAAGCAGGAGCAGGCTGGCTCACTGTGCTGTTACCTCTGTTTGTGTGCAGACAACCAGTGGTGATGAGAGGCTGTATCCATCCCCAACATCCTACATCCACGAGAACTACCTACAGCTCTTTGAGTTTGTGGGGAAGATGCTTGGGAAGGCTGTGTATGAGGTGAGCTGAAGGGGCCATATCAGGATATTGTCACTGTTGGTACAGCACTGTCCAGATGCAGTTCTGTGACGGTGCCCTTTGCCTTTGAGAGCATCTGTCATATGTTTGGAGAGGTGTTACTGAAGAGGTAAATGACTGAAGAGGAAAAATGACCTGGGTAAAGGCACCGATGGTGGAGCAGTCTGGCACTTACTCAGGCGTGGATTAAAAATCCATTACCCTCTCCATGTAAGGTAGTTCTTTCAAAGGAAACATGAATTTCCCCTGTTGCCTCCTCTAATGAATGGATTTTATGAGGATCTGGGGTTTTTGGCTGATTTTGTTGTCTTGAATCTTTGCACTTGTCCCACAGCACATGAAATGCCTGCAGGCCTCCGGAGATGCTGCACAGAACAGGCACACAGTGGGATCTTACCTATGCATTCTTGTCTGTAGGGAATAGTTGTGGATGTACCATTTGCTTCCTTCTTCCTGAGCCAGCTCCTTGGGCACCACCACAGTGTCTTCTACAGCTCCGTGGATGAACTTCCCTCCCTGGACTCTGAGTTCTATAAGAATCTCACTTCAATTAAGGTTTGAGCATTACTTTTCCTGTTGTTCAACTCCCTAATCCCTCGCTGCTGCTGGAAATACTGCATTTGCAAATGTCTTTGGGGTACTGATCATCTTTTAAACACCCTGGAAGGAACTGGCGATTCTGAAGCAGGCTGGCAGGCGGCTGTCCTGTGTTTTTCCTGGGGCAAACAGGGATGAGAAAGGAGTCTGCAGGTGTAAACCTGGAACTGGCAGTCAGGAAATCCCAAGTTTTAGCCTCAGCTCTTGTGCAGTCTCCCCATAGCCTCAGGCAACTCATGTATTAGATATGCTTTGGTGCCTTGTGCCTGCTGGAGATCACCAGAAGAGTAATAAGAAGATGCAGAGCTCCTGCTGCTAACTACTGACCTTCATCCCCTTTCTCTGTTGTTCCTCCAGCGTTACGATGGTGATATCAGTGACCTGGGCTTAACGCTGTCCTATGATGAAGATGTGATGGGTCAGGTAGGTTTTTATTCAATGACTGCTTGGGCCAGCATTCCAAACACAAAGGAGACAAGCTACTACAGCTCTTGGTGTCTGCTGAGCTTCCTGAGAGCTGGTCTTGAGCATCTAAAATTCAGCCAGCCTGTCCAAGCTCGTGCTGCCCAGTGTTTTTTCCTCTGCTGCTTGTGTTTCTGAGTATGGTGGATGCTCTGTGTGGCCCATCTGAACAAGAATCCTGAGGGGACTGACTGATAAATGACCTTGTGTTTGATTGTGCTCAGGGCTGAGCTCTGTGCTCCTTTTACACAAGAAAAGCCTGTGCTGAAAGGCTGGCTCAGCTTCAGAGGTTCTCTGAACTCAGGCACAGGGTTCTGTGACTTGGTTCAATATTTAGCTGTGGGCAAAGAGCTGTTTCCACAAAAGAGGCTGCCCTCTGGCCCTGAGTTTTTCTACTGCCACAGATTTTTCCTTTCTAGTTGAAAAACATTGGTTTGTGCTTTCCCTGCATAACTGCTTTTCCCTGCTTTCAAATCTCTGTGAGGAGGGAGAAATCCCTTGTCTTCAAACGTAGTAGCCCTTTCTGTCAGAGAAACTTGAATGTGTCAGGGGGTCTCTTGGCCTTGAGAAGAAAAGGCCATTTGTGGTCCCTTTATGAAGTCTTGAAGGTACCTGCTTGCTTGAGCCCTGGTTCTGTGATGCTGTGTGTAAATAGCTGGAAAATACGGATAGGCAAAATAAAATGCCTTTGCTGTCTGTGTGTGCTGCTGTTGCTATAGGTTCCGAGGGGAGACCCCAGCTAGTGCTAAGCTTGGGCACTGTTAGCAGTGTAAATCCAGTGGCAGAGAGCTCAGAGACCCCTAAGTCATGGGAGTGTTTATCTGGGGCAGCTTGTCCTTGAGAGCTTTGCATGCTGCAGTTGCTTATTCCTAAGCTGGTTAGTTTGGACTTAGCTTCCATCCAATAGCAATAGCAGTGTAAATGCACCTGCAAAGCTGTGAGGTTGAGTGGGAAGACAGGGAAGTTCTGATACAGCCCTGCTTTGCACACATGAGAGGCTGCATCCACAGCACAGTGGGCTCAACGCCTCGCTGCTGCCTCAGGATTGCTGAGGTTTGAGCTTTGAGGTTTCTCCACCTGAAAAAGAAAGGTAGGAAACAGCATAGGAGAGCCCAGCAGTCAAATGCTGAGTGCTGCTGCATGCAGAGCTTCAAAACAAACCAGGGCACTGCTGTTTCCCTTGTGCTTTGGCCATGCTGAGCCAAGTGGGGTAACCCTGTGGTTCCTCAATGAATTCTCCTGTGTTGGGCTCCCTTCTGGCCTTGAAGTCACCTGTAACTGAGGCACCAAGGCCACTGTAATACATGAGTTAATGACTTCCCATCACTTGGTGTTGGTGCAACGATGATCCCTGACTCTGCTGCTGCAGCAAGCACCAGGAGGGTTCCTGCTGTTGTCCCTGAGCTGTGCTGTTGGCCGAGCACCAGCCCTGGCCTGGCAGGGCAGGGACAAGATGCTTCCCAGCTCTCTCACTTTCTGAGTGCTCTGCTTCATGCCTTGAGCGCCCGGCTTGAGGGACAGTGGACTCCAGGGAGCTCTGTCACTCAGTGGCCCCAGATGAGACCTGTGGAGCAGACAGCTTTGGATTGCACTGTTAGATTGAGCTATGCAAAGCTGAGCTCGTTCAGCCTCTGGATTCTGGGATTGTGTCAGTCCCCCAGGGCTCTTTGAATTGATTTGCGTGCGGTTCAGCAGTGATGGATCAGTCTGGAGAGGAGGCTTCTTGAAGAAGGGCTGGCTGCACTGGTGGGAGAGTTGCAGTTCCCCACTGTTCAATTACTCTGTTAATAGTTCAGTGCAACTGGTTCAAGGCAGAAGCAGAATTATTACTTACATTTTAAATCCTACTGTTTCATTGTGAAAATGAATGTTTTATGGGGAAGGAACAGCTTAGCAGGGCCTTGCTTTCCATTGTGGTTCCAGGCAGTAATTAGCAATACAATCATTTCTTCCCTCAGCTTGTTTGCCATGAACTTGTTCCTGGAGGGAAGACCATTCCCGTTACCAATGAAAATAAGTAAGTACAGCAATTAGATTTTTAAGGTCACCACTGCAAAATACTTGATTCTAGTTCCTTGGGCTTGCATTTGGAATGAATTGAGATGGATTGGAGTAGAAGGAGCACATAAATATCTTAATGGAATTTCCTGGTTACAGTTCATCGGCAGAAATTGCATTAAATTTGATTTGCAAAATAAAAATTGACAATTTACTTCTTGAAACAGCACTTCTGAGGTCAAAGGCACAGAGCCTGTGAGATTCTGCAGGATTTAATGATGGTGATAGATACAGACAGATGGATTCAAAGCAATTCAGGCACACGGTCGTGAACATAGAGGGCACAGATGCTCAAAGACACCTTGGAGCAGACAGATCCTCTCAGAATGATAACATGTGGCAGTTGTATAAAGCACCCCTCTTCAGAAGAGGCAGTGGTGAATTCAAATGCAGTCGACAGTCGTACTTTGGGCACAGGAAATCAGAGGAGACACGGAGCCCTGTAGCTATTTTCACAGATAAGCGGCTTTTAGATAGTTATCGTAAATGTCAACTCTGGAGCCTGGAAACCAAACCCACCTTTTTGTTCCCTTCATTTTCTTCTTCTCTGTACCCTTCAGTGATCATAAAAGCAGGATAAAATAGTTATTAAGCAGATGTGTGTTTGAACTGGTAATCTGGGGGTTGTTCACTTTAATGGCAAGTGAAAGCTGGAGCCTACCTGAGGATTTGTCTTTTAGTCGTGCTCTGCAATTTGATGGTCCCAGTCTTCTCCCTTCTTGAGCTCTGACCAGGGAGTTTGCATTTGAAAGGCTCTTTGCCTTGTCAGAAGTCAGCTCAGGGAGAAAGTTGAAAGTCTTCTGTGTTGCTCTACTCCCTTACAGCGGAAACTTTGAAGCCTTTGTGCAGATGTGCACACAAATTGGTAGTTGGGAGGGAGCAGAAGTGGTGCAAGTGGAAGCAATCTAGAAATAGGTCTCTCTCTTAACAGTGGAGGGAGGTTACCTCGCTGAAGACCCTGTCAGTGTGATTTTGGTGGTGTCTGCCTAGGAGCTGATAAAGAAGGATCAGCAAGCTCGGTTGTTTTGATTGTTGGTGAGAAGAGGAAGCCTGACGGTGCTTCCCTCTAATAAACAGCACGCCTCTTCCATACTCCTGGGATGAAGGTGGCAATCTCCCAAGTGGTTTTTAGTGTGGTGTTTTCTCCAGCCATAAGTTTCAGTGCAGGTGGCATCAGGGCCCAGACAGTTGTGTTTTCAAACCTAGAGGAGTGCCTGTCACTGGGGATCTGGTCCTTTAAAGAAGAGTTGGACACGTGCTCCCCCCCATTGGCTTCTCTCTGGCCAAGGTTAATCAAGTGATTATTAGAGCCAGTTAGTCCCTGGGTTGGGAAGGAGCTCTAAGAAATGTTCAGGCAGTACCAGAGGCAGGGGGAGACAGCAAAGTCTGGGCAGAACAACAGCTCTTTCTGCTTACATGAAGAGCAGGGCCTTGGACAAGAAAGTTTAATGCATCTCCAGGCAGTGCCAATCCCTTTTGGGTTGGAGAGGCAGGTCAGCAGCCTCGTTCCTGCACTGTTGAGGTGGGTATTCCTTTACTGCTCCAGCTCTTCACTGCCACCTTCCCTGTCACGCACAGGATCAGCTACATCCATCTCATGGCTCACTTCCGGATGCACACGCAGATCAAGAGCCAGACAGCAGCACTCATCAGTGGCTTCAGGTCCATCATTAAGCCTGAGTGGATTCGTATGTTCTCTGCACCCGAGTTGCAGCGGCTCATCTCTGGTGACAACGCTGAGATCGACCTCGAGGACTTAAAGTGAGTGAGCAACTGGGTCTGCTGGTGTGGCTCAATAAACCAAAGCAGTTGTTAGAGCTGCATGGAGGTTTGCAGGGCACTGACTTGGTCACAACGTTTTGCTCCTTCCAGTGGAAGTTTGGGGAGTGAATAGAAACAAATAGAGCTGAAGAACGTGTTTCTTAAAGCTGATTTGGACAAAGTCCTAATGAACAAGGGGGTACTAATCTATGAGGGTGGTGAGACACTGGCACAGGGTGCCCAGCGAAGCTGTCTGCCCCATCCCTGGCAGTGCTGAAGGACAGGTTGGAGCAACCTGCTCTAGTAGATGTCCCTACCTGTGGCAGGGGGTAGGAACTGGGTAAGCTTTAAGGTCCTTTCCAACCCAAACCATTCCATGATTCTATTGAACGGGAAGGATCCTTTCTTAGACTGCTCCCTGAGAGCAGAATTCCTCTCTCCCTTCCCTTTTCTCTGATGAAGTGCCCGGTGTTGGTGAGGGCTCACTCCTGGCAGTGTCTGCCACAGCAGTGAACCCTGATCATAGCAGGCATTGATTCCAGTGCTTATCACCTGGCAGCTGTGACCCTCCTGCTGCAGGGGGACACAAGCCTGTCACAAGCTTTCTCTCCCTAGAAAACACACGGTGTACTATGGGGGCTTCCATGGGAGTCACCGAGTCATCATCTGGCTGTGGGACATCCTGGGCAATGACTTCAGCCCTGAGGAGAGAGCCATGTTTCTCAAGGTAAACACAGTCCTTTCAGCCCAACCTGTGATTTGGAGTGCTTGGGCCTGGGCAGTTCTCCGGTGAGCTGGGTGCTGTTGACACTGAGAGGCAGTGTCAGAATGCCATGTGTCTGTTACAGGCAGGCTGCTCTCACTGCTGCTGTATTTCACTGCCCATCTCTCTTTCAGTTTGTTACCAGCTGCTCCAGGCCTCCACTGCTGGGCTTTGCCTACCTCAAGCCTCCTTTTTCCATCCGCTGCGTGGAGGTCTCTGATGATCAGGTAGGACCCTGCTTGCTCTTGTCTTACACATTCCCTGCCAGGCTTCTGCAGGCCTCCTGTCCTGCCCAGCTTCCTCTTTGTCTGAGCAGGAGACTCTTTAAGACACAAAGATAGATGTTCTGTAGGGCAAAGTGAGAACAGTCTTCTAACACGATGCATATAGCTGCACCTACCTCTTCCCAGATACAGCAGCACTTGGGCACTTTTTGCCTGTCTCTAGGGTTGTATTTTCTCCTTGGGGCCATCCTGTGCCTCTTACCCCAGGGACCCTGCATGTCTAAGGGCAGTTGCAGTTACAAGAGGAGCTCCCTTCTAGGTGTTGCAGGGCGCAGGGCTTCGAGGTTTGCCTCTCCCTGTTCCTAGCAGACAGGTTTTAGCACCTCTGTGTGTAGGCACCCTGCTTGGAAGGAGCAGAGCAGAGCAGCACGAGGGTGATGCATTTCTGCCCTGTTCCAGGACACGGGTGACACGCTGGGCAGTGTGCTGCGGGGCTTCTTCACCATCCGCAAGAAAGAGCCGGGCGGGCGCCTGCCGACCTCCTCCACGTGCTTCAACCTCCTCAAGCTTCCCAACTACAGCAAGAAGAGCATCCTGCGGGAGAAGCTGCGCTACGCCATCAGCATGAACACTGGCTTCGAGCTGTCCTAGTTGCCATGGCCCTGGACTCCGCGATGGGGGCTCTCAGAGCTGCTGACTGCTGCTGGAGGTGGAGGCCTTCCCGCACAGAGGCTGGATGAGCTCCGTGGGAGCTGGCTGCTCACTCGAGGGCTGGAGAGATGCAGCTGATAATAGAGGTTTACAGGGAAGAGCTGCTGGGCTAGACAGGGCTGGCTCTTTGTTGGGCACTGCTCCAGGAGGAGGGAGGTGATGGGCCCGACCCAATACACTTCACTTGACACCCACGTAAATCGTCTTTAAAAGCAAACCCCGGGGGAGCATAAAAGGAACAGTCCAAGTGCCAGTCAGATTAGTGACCGTGATGCCCCCCGGCAGCCCGTGGGGCCTGGGCAGCTGCTGCTGTGGGAGTGTTTCTTTTCCCTTTCCCAGGACGTGGTCCAGTTTCTTACTGGGTGAAGTCAGCCTGGGGGAGGCTGCACAAAGGCAGAAACATGACAGAGCCCACAGGGAGAGGAGGCGGCGGCGCTGGATGTGCCACTGTTTTACTCAGGACAGGTACTGGCCGGGGGCTTCCTCGTGCCCTTGCTCTGTGCAAGGCCCTTGTGTGTGTCTCAGAGGGTGAACCACTTGCCCAGCCTCTGGATTCAGCAGGTTAAAACCAAGCAGATGAAGCCCACCATTCTCAGGAAGGTTTCAGAGGGCTGTAGGTTAAGAGCTGAAGCTGCATGCACAGGGTCAGCGTGCTGAGCCTCTGTGCCTCTGCCAAGCTCATGCCAGGGCCTGTGCTTTGGAGGCGAGGGGTTGTCTGAGCTTGCTCAAGGAGCAGAAAAAGGTTTAACTTGATTTAGTTTCCAGAGGACAGGAGCTGGCACACAGCTCGGGCAGCCCTCGCTCCCCAGCGTGGTGCTCCAGTGGGGCAGGTCCCCCCTGTGCTCCATGGAAGGGGAATGTGTGGAGCTGCCCAGAGCCCTCTGGAAACCACCACTGGCAAAATTCCTCGTGCTTGTGTGGAAGTTTCACTTTGTTTGCAGGCCCTTTTGTTAGGGAGATGTGCTGTTCCAAACAGGACTTGGCCTCTGCGTAACAGCCGCATTTGCTTTGTTGCCAAACTATTTCTTTTGGTCGCTTTGTCTCTTTCTGGCCTTATTTTAACACTTGGTGTTTGCTTGGAGCAGGCAGCTCTTCCAGGTGGTTCTGAAGGGCAGGTGGGTATAGGTGTGTGTGTTGGGAAGGTGCAAACCCTTCCTGCCATTTCTAATCCAGTCCAGAGCCTGATTTGTCAGGTGTCTGCAGCTTCCCAGCCTTGGCCCCTTGTGCTGCAGGAGCTGAGGGAGAGGAGAGATTCCCATCTCCTGGGCTGCTCTGTCCTTGCTGGTTTCTGGCACAAAGGAAAGCCATGTACGTTCTGCAGTTCAGGATAGGATAAAAACCAGTCATCTTCTCCTCTTCCCCTGTTGCTGCTCACTAAGGAAGCAAGCTCCCACAGAAGCTGCTGGTATTCCCCTTGGATTTCACATCCCCTCCTTACCTTCCTAAGGTAAGACACTGGTAACCCTCACCCTGTGCTCTGGCCCCTCTGTGCTTTGTGGACAGATGGGCTCAGAGCCTCACCACAGCCACTCCTGCATGAGGCTGACATAACCTACCTCCTTGCCTTGGTCCTTCCCACAGGCCCATTCTGTGCAGCACGGGGCTCTGCAGGGAGATGCTCCCTGGGCTCTTTGGCATTCATCTGTGAAATGAATCCATGGTTTCATTTCACAACTCAAACAGACCAGGAAATACTTGGCGCTGTTTAACCAAGAGTATAGAGATGGCCTTTGCTTCATCTTCCTCTTCTGGCTTGCTTCAGCTGCTTTTTGGAGAGGTAACCCTGGTTTTAGAACCAATGCCTGGATGTGCATTTGGAAAGCAAAGCCAGGGTCCTTTTCTATGTCAGCTTCATTACTAAACAGGAGTGACTGGAAGTGTTGGTGAGGGCAGGAATGTCTGTGTTCAGAGGGCTCGAGATCCTGGGCTCCGAGTCCAAAGGAATTAAGAGTAAATTTGTTTTATTAACGTCACTGTTTTTAACATAGAGCATTTCGGCATGAAGCACTTGCTGACAGTGTGGTTGAGAGGGTTAGGCACTGACTTGTACCAGTCTTAGCTTCAAACACCACCCCAGATCCCTTCTTTTTTCCCTAGGGAGGTGCAGTGTGCCTCAGTAGAGCACGATGAGCATTCACTGAAGTGAGCTGTTGAACACTGAAATAGAATCTTTGCTCCCTTTTTTCCCTTCATTCCTCAGGAGTATAATTCCTAGAAAAGATCTTAATGCAGACTTAGCTAGGAGCCCCATAACCTGCAATTACTGCGCTATGAGGCACTACATCCAGTTTGTAGCTAGTGTGTAAACCAGGATTGCCTGGTAGGTGCCCTGCTGCCTGTGTGAGCAGCAGCAGCACCATTTCTCTTGTGTAGCTGCTTTCTACAACTGGCTTTGGTATGTTTGTACCCCAAGCAGAAGGCTGTGAGTGGGGACCAGCCCTGCCTGCACCGGTGGCCTTGCACAGGGGCTCCCTGTAGGGCAGGGATGGATTTGCCACAGGAGATTAATGACTGTTCTTCCTATAGAAGACTTGTTTCTGTGGGATCTTGGTTATGTCCCTTGTATCAGAAATGCAGGGAAGAGAAGAATAAACCTGGGATGAGCAAGGTGACTGGATGTCTTCTCTTCCTTGCGCTGGGTGTTCTGCCCCAGCTCAGAGCATGGGGGGAGCAGAGCTTTTAGATGCTGGGACTGGGTTTGGACAGCTGGTGAGCCAATTCTGAACCTTCACACCAAGGAATCCTGCACTCACTGGTGGGGGGAAGGAGAAAAGAGGTTTAGGGAATGCAGGGTGGTGGGACAAGGCTGCGCTTTGGATTTTAGAAGCTGCCCTAAGGTCAGCCATGGAGCTGATATGAGGCTTTGACAAGGGATGTAGGGACAGGCCAAGGGGAATGGCTTGAACCTGCCAGAGGGGAGACTGAGATGAGCTCTGAGGTAGAAGCTCTTCCCTGTGAGGGTGCTGAGGCGCTGGCACAGGGTGCCCAGAGAAGCTGTGGCTGCCCCATCCCTGGCAGTGCTCAAGGCCAGGTTGGACACAGGGGCTTGGAGCAAGCTGCTCTAGTGGAAGGGGTCCCTGCCCGTGGCAGGGGTTGGAGCTGGAGGAGCTTTAAGGTCCCTTCAATTCAAACCATTCCATGGTTCTGTGATAACAGTAGCTTTACATTAATGACACAGGCATTGTGTTCATCCTCTTGTCTGGCTCTGGAAGCATCCTTGTAAGAGCGAGGAGCTGTGCCTGCTGCTGCTGCAGCTCCCCCCCGGCTCAGGTCTGGTGCATGGCAGCACGGTCCTTCGCTGCCTGCCCTCACCATGCCCCTGGTGCTGTGCTCGCTGTGGTTCCGTGCCCGTGGTGCTCGGGGCCAGCCCCGTGGGGAGCAGGCGCGCGGCGGGAGCCGGGCATGGGGCTTGCAGTCAGTGTGCAAGCGCCATTGTTTTGACACTGAGGCATATGGCACCGTCAGGGAGAGCAAAGGCAAGGAGCAGCAGCTGCTGCCGCCGAGGCAGAGCTGGCAGCAGGCAGCCAGGCCTGCACCGCGCTGGTGCTGAGCCGGGAGGGGTGGACTGACCTTGGTGCTGGTGCTGCCGTGTCCCAGCCATGGGCTCCCACCACTGCTGCAGTGCAGGCAGAGTGTGCTCGGGAGCAGACGGCTCTTCTCCCTGCTCCTCTTGTGTTCCTATAGACTCTGCCCATCCCCTGGCTCTCACCACCCACTGGTCTTCCCTCTGATACCACTGTTGGGCACAGCCACTTGGCCTGTGCTCCACGCCAGGGCTGGTTGAGGTTGGGATGGAGCAGGGTGTGCTGGGCTTTGGTCACCACATCCCTGAGCAGAACAAGATGAGGGATTCCTGCAGCTTCTCTCTGTGTGGGTGACCTGAGGGGGTGATGGCTTGGTCAGAGCTACACGGCACTGCCTTGGCACTGCCACTCTGCCTGTTCAGAGGTGATGTTGGGGCTGTTTCTAAGGTGAAGTTCTTTGATGCTTCCCCTGGGGTGATTTGAGCCTCTCCATGCACATCCCATGGAGCTGCTGGAGCAGGGATGGGGCAGGTTCTGCCAGGCTGCAGCAGGGGCAGAACTTAGGGACTGAGACAGCCCTTTCCTTGACACAAACAGCTCAGTCTGCTGCAGGGATGGTGGCTCTTACCCTGGGGTGTCATAACTGCCCACCCAGCCTTCTCTAACCAAGTTCTTCCCCTGTTGTAGCTTGAGCTGTTTGGATGGGGAGTGTTTTCCTTTGACCACTTCCAAGCAAAATGAGTATTCTGGGGGCCTGCAACTGCAGGTGGCAGATGCTGCCCCTTCTGGTCCTCCAGCTTGAGAGGAGGAGTGCAGGACTGCTGCGGGCTCCCCATCACCACAGCTGGGTACCCCAAAACTTGTCCGTCAGGCCTGGGGATGGAGAGGGGCCACGCACACTACGAGTCCTCCCTTTGGTGCACGAGCAGAGGAAATGCTGCCTTGGATAAATTTCCATATGACTTGGCAAAATGTATGTTTGTGTCATTTCTGCAAGAGCAGCAGCCGGCTCTGCTGCTTACACATCGTAGCAGTAATAGAGGTGCTTGAGTTATAGTGAAACTTATTTCATTTTACAGCTCCTACCGCGTTAACAGATGTACAGGCGTCTGATCCAATCATGCAGCAAGAGATTTTGGGGCCAGTTCTTCCAGTTTTGACAGTGTAGAAGCTAGGAGCAGCCATACATTTTACAAACAAGAGTAAACGACCCTTAGCAACATATGTCTGCGCTGGCAGCTCCAACGTAACCATAAATAAGGAACCCTGCTAGGCAGGAATGTATCTGGGCTCTGCCTACAGTCAGTGTTGGACAAAGCATCTGCCTTCCTCCCATTATATTAATGAGGTGCAGGCACTGGAATCCCTATGCCGTACGGCTGGATTTGCTGGGTGGGGACAAAGGACTTGGAAAAGCAAATGCTAATGCAGAGCAAGGGAGGTTTATTTGATTTAAAGGCTCTATTTCATTTTAGTGATGCTTTATTCCTGCTTTGCCGTCTCGCCAGTTCTCTTGTGCATTACTGGAGGTGGCTCCAGGGCCATTGGCAGATGGTACCAAGATGTTTTCTCGCTGCTGCCCATAGCACTAGGTCCTGTGGTCATGCAGTTCGAATCATAGACAGGTTTTGGTTGAAAGGGACCTTAAGCTCATCCAGTCCCAGCCCCTGCCACAGGCAGGGACCCCTTCCACTGGAGCAGCTTGCTCCAAGCCCCTGTGTCCAACCTGGCTTTGAGCACTGCCAGGGATGGGGCAGCCACAGCTTCTCTGGGCACCCTGTGCCAGCGCCTCAGCACCCTCCCAGGGAAGAGCTTCTGCCTGAGAGCTCGTCTAAAACCCTAATATCTAATCTAAAAAGCACCAAGGTCACCCCAACACCGGCACTACAGCATCTTTGGGTAGAAAGGGAAAAGGGGAAGCTGGGAGCTGAGTGCACCCTGATAAATTTAATCTCTACTTCATGTTAAAGTGCAGTAGCTGAATTAATTTCTCCTTGCAATCA